CCAGGTCACAGTCCTTGTCGATGTAGCAGGGGCTCTTCCCCCCCAGCTCCAGGGTGACAGGAGTCAGGTGCTTGGCAGCTGCTGCCATCACAATTTTGCCCACTGCAGTGTTGCCAGTGTAGAGGATGTGATCAAATCTCTGGGTCAGCAGCTCTGTTGTCTCAGGAACTCCTCCAGTGACCACAGGGTACAGCTCCTGCAGGGCAAACAAGAGCCTGAGAGTTACCTTGATTCAAAGCACTCACATCAAGGCAGAGGGCAGGCTTGTTTGTGCCCTAATACATGACAGGGGCAAAATATAATGGTAGCACAGATATGCCCTGCTCCTTCCCCTCAAACGAAGATTTGTGTCCCGTTTTGTGCCTCACGAACTAAAAGAAATGAAGGCTGAGGCCAGGGCTGAGTCTGGCTGTGGAGCTGCTCCCACACAGGAAGAATCAGGGCACATATGACTGCCAGGCTCTCCCAAGGCCTGCCTCCTTCCCCTGCTCCTGCCTCCCACCCAGAGAAGGCGCTAACACCCTGGAGGGAACTCCACAGGGCCCTGTGCAGTGACAGCAACAGCCTATCTCTGTGACAGTGCAAGGGATGACAGAACTGCCAGGCAAGAGGAGGAGGAACAACACCTCCTCCTGCAAGTGCAGTTCAGCAGGACATGAAAACCCAGGCCATGATGCCATGGAACACCCAGTGCTCAATTCTCAGAAAGAGCCAGGCTCTGCCAGCATCCCACACAACCTGTGTGGGGCCTAAGGGCATCCCCAACACAGCTCCAAAAGAGCAGCTCCTGCAGTGAAAAGTGCACACACAGCTCTCCATACGGTCACGGGTGTCAAAAAGGCTGTCACACTGCAGCAGCGTTATGTAAGCTCATACACAAACACAGGGAGAATTTGTCAATGCACCTTTGGACTCTAACAGTAACTCAACCCTTCCTGTGCCTCCTGCTTGTGCTCCTTTGAAAGGAGCAGGCAATGCATTTGGCTCAAACCTGCAGGAGCCCTTTGAAAACAGGACAGATCAAGACGCTCATGTGAGATGCGAGGCCACACTCACCTTGTCCAGGTACTGTGGCAGCAGTTCAGCCACCAGCCGAGCCGTGTTCTCGCTGACCTCTGAGGGCTTCACCACCACAGCATTGCCTGCAGGGCACACACAGCACGGTCATGAGCCCTCAGTCCTCTCCCCACACACAACCAGGACCCCACCAAGGCTGCTCTGGATCCCCACCTGCAGCGATGGCCCCAATCAGGGGCTGCATGACCAGCACAAAGGGGTAGTTCCAAGCCCCGATGACCAGCACCACGCCCAGGGGCTCGTAGCCGATGTAGGCCTCGTCCCTCATGGTCAGCAGGTTCTTCTTCACGGGCTGAGGGGCTGCCCAGGATGGCAGCTTCTCTATGGTGAGGGCCAGCTCCCCCAGCACACCCAGGATTTCATGGCTGTAGGCGTTGTACCCACACTGCAACAACAGGGAGTTTGGGGAAGGGATGGAAAAGGCACCCAGCTCCCATAGCCACCATCTCAGCCCTGCTGCTTCCAAGTGTCTGCCACTAGCAGTGACAAAGGATCCCTGGCCAGAGATGGGTGTGTGAGGCAGAACCCCAAACCTGACAGCCAGGACTGCCTTAGCAGTTCTGCCTTAGACTAATTCCTTCTCAGAAATGGTGACAGCAGAACTTTGCAGGCCACAGTGGCACAAAGGGCAAGGGGACAAGAACAAAAACCATTTAGCACAGCAAAGGCAGCCCTTGGCCTTCCCACTTCCCCTTCAGGGCCGACCACTGTCCATGCACAGCTGATGCACAGACATCAGAAACTCCCCGACCCAGACCTTGTTCAGATCGGCCTTGAGAGCTGCCAGGATCTCCTTCTCCTTCTCCTGCACCATCCTCTGCAGGGCCTTCAGCTGCTGAATCCTGAACTCCAGCGGGCGGCTCCGGCCCGACCTGAAGGCGGCCCTGGCCCGGCTCACGACCTGCTGCATCTTCTCCATGGCTGCTGGGCACTGAGGAGACACCGGCCACCCCCAGCTCAGCACAGGGCCATGGAAGCCGCCTAGCCCTGGGAACACCTCCAGGAGTGTCCCACCCCGAGCAAGGCTGGGAGATGTTGTCCTTCTCATGAGGCATTCCCTCTCTCAAGCTGAGTCTGAGGGCCCTCAGCACCCAAGCCCCATTCCACCTGCACGGGGCACCTCCAGAGCAATCTGGGCTTTGCTGATTGATTCTGTTCTGAGAGTGTTTTCTCCAAGCCTCAAACCCACCAGCCACTCCACCCTCTGCTCACAGGGTTGTTCCCAAGGTGCCAAAGAACAGAGATGACCATGGCCAGGGTGGGCAGCCAGCTGGGAACAGAGCTGTCTGCCTGGAGCCGGCCTGCACCCATCTTCCCCATAACCCTGAGGCCCTCACACATCTTCACAGAAACACTGCAGAGATTTCACCTGCTTCAAAGGAGCAGGTGAAACTATTATTAATTTCACTTTAGTCAGGACCAGAGATCTGGTCCTGCTTCCCTACCCAACCAACCAACACACCAAGATCCCCTTACAACGATTAAATCCTGCCCTTTCCAACCCACTGCCACAGCTGCATGACACAACCCGAGAAAGCAAAGTGACTCATTAAAAAACGAAGGAAAAACAGCAAGTTACCTTCAGAGGAGCTTCTCTCTCCACCAGCCTCCTGTGGCGACTGCAAGCAGGCACAAGCCCTTCCCCTGCCATGGCTGGGGGCGATCCCTCCTCCCACGGGAGAGCTGGCCCCGGCCCAGGGCTCTTGCTGGGCATCATGAGATGCCCTTTACCCAACCCTGTCCAGCCCTGGGTGGCTGCTCCAGGCAGGGCAGTGACTCAGCCCTGGTGTGGGATGGCACAGCCCACGTGCCTTTGCCCACGTGCCACAGCTACAGCGCTCAGGATGTTAAAAACCCCAACCAGGCAATCCAGCATGGATCTGAGAGGGGGAAACAGGCAGCTCCTCTGCTGGCTCCAACAGAGCTCTGGGGAATCCTTGCCAGGGTGCCAGGGACACATCACAACACCTGTGAGCCACTCAGCCAAGCCATGGCCAGAGCTGGGACCAGCAGAGCAGGATTCCTCAGGAGACTGCAAGGAATTACCACACTCAGTTGATTATTTAAATTCTCAGTGTTTATTTAGTGCCTTGCAAAATGTATCATCAAAAAGGCTTAGCACATGGATTTTCACCAGACATGAAGAAATCCCACTTATTGCACAGTAAATATAATTTTCTACTCTATAGTAATTGCATTTAGTAATATTTTTTTCAGTTTGCTTTAACAATAATAGTTCTAAGGCTCTTTCACCTTCAATTCCTTCAGCATCCTTCCCCCAAGCTAGAACAAGCCCCACATAATCCCCCAGTGCAAGATTACAGAATCCTGAGAAGCTCAAACACGAAGGAACACACACACTCTTCCAGTAATTGTTTTCCCTTGGAGGAACCTGACCAGGAACAGCTTTGTACTGGGATGAAGTCAATTTTTGTGCTAGACACTAAGTTTCTTTGTAGAAGGATGGCGCTGTTTTGGGTTTGTGACATTGGGAGTTCTGGTGTTTGTCTTCCCAAGTCACCACCAGGTGTGATGATGCCCTGCTCTCCTGGGGATGGCTGAACACCTGCCTGATGAGGGGGATTAATTAACAAATTCCTTAATTTGCTTTGATCTGCCTGCAAGCCCAGTTTTCACTTCATTAAACAATTTTTATCTCAACATACAAGTTTTCTCACTTTCTTCCAATTCTCTTCCCCATCCCACAGAGGAAAAAAAGCAAGTGGCTGCGTGGGGCTGGGCTAATCCACAAGGTATTTGTCATTCCCACTTCTCTGAACAGGCCTGAAAATTCTTTTGCTCTAGCATGAGACACTCAGCACAACACAGGCAGCACAGGCATCACCTTTGGAATTTTCTAACTGCTAAATAACTGTTAAAGGCACATGATGAAACACAGAACCCAGCAAGCAGCTGTGGATGATTCTGGATTGCAGAGATGTGAGAAGGTTTCACCTCAATTAAATGGCAAGGGGAACCTCACTGGGTTTATTCACAGCCAAATGCATCGGGCAGCACAGCCTGTCCCAGGCTTGTCACTGGGAGGGTGGGTGTTCAGAACATCCCCAAAACTGCAGGGAAAACACTCTCAGCTCAAGGGCTGCTGAAATTTCAGCTCCTTTTGGTCAGTGAAGGAAGGTGAGTGGTTTGGTGCAGGACACTGTGTGTCCCTGGAAGCTCTGCATGGCACAAGGTGCAGGCAGGGACTGGAATTTCTTGCTCTGCAGTCCTCCTTCGGAGAGCTTGTCCCCAGTGGTCCCTCTGTTCCAGCATGGCTTTTAAGTAAACAGGAATCTGAGCCTTCTCGTGGTTAGTGCCTCTCTAAGGCTACTCTGTGTGCTCGACAGCTCACTGAAATCACCCAGAACAAAAGAAAAGAATGACTTCCCAGCTTAAGGAAACAGACACAAAGCCAGCACCCAGAGTATGATGAGCACATGGTGCCTTCTCCTCTCTTCATCAGTTAAGCACCTGTGAAAGCAAAACACAACAGCAACACCCCGTGAAGGATCGGCTGACACAAAACCAGTTCCCATTCTAGAACAGCCTGAAGCAAAGCCCCTTCTTCAGGCAGGGGTTCCCCAACGTGCAGCTCTCCTGCCCCTCAGCATGCACTGGTTATCTCAGATGCCAGGGAAAACATCGTGCTCTGGCTCAGCCCCACATTCCCTCATCTACAAAGCTTTTCCCAATCTCAAACTAGGTCTACACACAGAAGAAAAAGGCTCCTACCTCACTGTGGCAGCCACAGCAGTGCTCTGAAACCTGCTCCTCCTTACCACCCACTGGGCCAGCCCAGCCTCTGCACAGCCAGCACAACCAACAGGGCTTTTCTCTTCAGCACAGACTGGTGGCTCTGAGAAACCCAAATGATTTCAAGATGCCGTGAGATTCCCCCCTCTTATTGCCCTGCACAGGGCCTGCCTCCCTGGCTGCTGCCTCGAGGCCTGAGCCAGTTCTTGGCTCTTAAATCTCCTCCTGGGTTATGTGAGCAGGTTATTTCCCTTGGGATGCTGGTCTCCTTGCAGCAGCAACTATGCAGACTGAAGGGCAGAGTTCTGATCCACCCTGCCTCCTCCTGTGCCCTCAGGAGCTGCTCCCTTGAGCTCAGTAATCCCCACAGAGCAGGCAGTGAAGGCACATGAAGTGTCTGGTTTGTCAGACATGGAGAACCAGCAGTGATTTGGCTTAGAGATTCAGATCTTGCTCCTCCACCTTAGGAGGCATCCTGAGCCTCCTGCAAGCCTCTGCCTCCTGCAGAGAGGAGAGGACATCCCACCCTTCCGCACTGCCCAGCTGGAAACATGGGAGGAAATAGGAATAATTGAGCTGAGGTCAGACAGGGACTGCAATAGGCGAGGAAAACATGAGTTTGTCACAGACCCCAGCTTTGGGACACAGCTTCCCTCCCCAGGGTGCCATGGCACAGACTGCAGCTCTCTGGGCTGTGAGGCAGCTCAAACGCTGCTGAAGGAAGCTCTGGGATGGAAGCCACGCCTAAGCAGTCCAAAACTACCAACCTCTGCCTCTGGAGGGAGCATCCCACGGGTGTCACCTACCAGGGAGGAGCAACAGGGAGTACAGCAGCCTGGAGATCTCTCCGGGGATATTCCTATTCTACAGACAGCTTGCAAGAGTGAGAAGGTAAGAATTTAAGGTGGGACAGATAAATCTCAAGACAGAAAAAGAGGCCAGGCTTTACAAAAGGGCTGCAGTTGCAAAGAAGGGGTCAGGTAAATTGTACGTGCACTGCCATAGACAGCAAAGACCCAAAACTCACCTTGATCATCACCGCTGCCACCACCCCCAGCAGGGCCAGGACAAAGAGCCCGATTCTGGCCTTGTTAAACCTCTTGAGCAGGAAGAACTTGGCCCAGTCCACCTTCTTCTGGCTGCCAGGTGGGTACCGCATCTTGTTGGCGCTCTCCATCTTCAGGTCCTTGATGAGGCAGGCGCGGCGGTGGGAGAAGGTCTCGAAGCTGTGCTTGCCGTGGTAGGCGCCCATCCCACTGTGCCCTGAGGAACACAGCCAGGCAGGGCACTCCTCAGCCTCAGCCAGCCTCAACTCTGCCCACCTGAGGACAACTGAGCCTTCCCCTGCAGCACTTCTCAGTCTCTATGATGTACATTGTACCCCAACCCTCTTCTTCCTCACCTCATTTACACCAGCCATTCTCATTGCAGATAATGGTTTTAATGCACCTTCCCCAGCAGGCTGCACTAAATGCTTCAGTCTTTCCAAAAATACACCCAAAGGTTTTTCCCTCCTGGCCCCCATCCTAATGCACTCCCAGAACTTATAATTATTATCAAGACCTGCTGCACAGAGAGTCTTGAGCTGTAGGAGGCACAGGGATACCCAGACACAAACCATGGGTTGTTGTTCCCTGGGACACACTGTATATTAAGTCCCAACTCTTAAGGAGCTCCAGTAACTTACCAACACCACCAAAAGGCAAAGTTGAGAGGAAGAAATGCATAATGACATCATTTCCAGTCACACCACCACTGGAGGTTTCCGAGATGACTCTCTTGATTAACTAGAAAAAGAAAAAAAACCAAAAACAAAAGATTAAAAAGGCTCAAAAAAGACACCAGACCATGTAACTGGGAAGGGAGCTACATTTCAACAACGTTCATCTCCTCTGGCAAAGCCCAGACCCACCTGCTTGTTGTTGGAGAAGACATAGAGGGCAAGGGGCTTCTCCCGACCGTTGATCAACTCAATGGCTTCCTCCACGCTCTTCACAGGCACAATGGGCAGCACTGGCCCAAAGATTTCCTCCTCCATCACCTTTGACTCCGGGGAAACATCCGTGAGGATGGTTGGAGCTGAGGCAAATGGGAGAATGAGAGAACAGCATGAGCAGGACACAGACCTGGCCCATCACAGCACCTGGGTCAACAAAGGCACAGACAAACAGCACCCACTGCCACCTCCCCTCCACAGCACCTATGAAGCAGGAGGCCTCATCAGTCTCTCCCCCATGAGCAATCTTCTGCCCTTCCAGCAGGCTCTTGACCCTCTTGAAGTGACGCTGGTTGACGATCCTTTCATAGTCTGGAGATGACTTCACGTCCTCCCCATAGAATTCCTGACAAAAGGGAACAGCAGAAACAAAAGTGCTCAGCACACCTTCCAACAGCACAGCTTCAGGAAATCACAGCTGGGACAATCTCCACAGCACAAGGGACTCCTCCCTCACCTTCAGAGTGGCCTTGATGTTCTCCACCACCTTGCTCTGGATGGATGGGTCACACAGGATGTAGTCTGGGGC